CTGTACGAAAAATTGTACATTCCAATGACCTATGGCAAAAAGATGCAGCATACAAAGGCAGCAAGTCCCAGAAAGGTGAACAGAAGACAGGTGTTCTGGAACTAAACATCCTCAGCTTGTTGTCCTCAGTTACAAGCAATGGAGAGCCCTCAAGTAGCTGCACAAAATAGGCAGATTTCTTGCAAAACCTCAACATAGTGCGCAGCTTGCCTACATTTCCAAAGATGGTTTTTTCAATGTCTTCTGGAAGATCTGAGCATGAAATGAAACACAGACTATCTGGTCTTTGGTAGGTTTGAAAGAAACAAAGCACAGCTTCTGGACTAACAGTTTTCACCTGGATTTCTGCATCCCGATAATTTATATATATTGACATTGGGCAATATAAAAGATTGAAATTGCTTTCACATAAAATCCTTCTAACAATCTCTCTGGAGGATGGTTCTTGACATTTTGATGTATCTCTGAACCCTGACCCTGGTTCCTGAATCTGGGTATCTAAGTCATCAAAGAATATTTCATCTTTTCCACTTCCTGTAGGTGGAAACCATGCAACTTTAAATCCCGTCTCACTCACTCTTGCATGTCGCAAAACTGGGAGAACCCTCAGATGAAGTTCACTGGTCAACTGGTATACCTTTTGAGACAGATAACGCATGTAATTCTCCTGATGCTGGATATCTGGAAAGAGCTCACAATACTGGCTCAAAGATCTTCTTATCTGGGTCTCATCACCTCCAGACATCTCTTTCATGATAATCATCTTTGTTTGCTGAAGCATGTTAGTGTAGCAAGGTGCAACTGTTTGCTCTATTAATGTGTTGTTCCACTCAGTTTTCACATCAGTATTTTCAGTGTTCATCCAAAGGTTTCTCCTGGCTTCATGATCCAGTGCAAAGTGACCATTGATATGAACAGGGAGGTTTGTTATCAGTGGGAGTGGCAGGAAGCAAAATAACCTGCCTTTTGGGAGGTCTAATTTCTCTGTCGGTAAACTGTCAGGTGGAAGCAGATGTGCTACTCCTCCACGTGGCAGTAATCCCAACTCTCTGTCCCGGAGGGCCTTCTTTAAAGTTGTAGATATCGAGCTTGGATTGCTGAAGCCAAACTGTTGGGTGATAAGCCATGTTTCTAATCTGCCTTTGTTGTCTTCTAAGGACATGGTGAAAGAAACATTGATGGGATGTAACTGTTCCACTGTCAGTTTTTGTGTTTTCAGTCTCCCTGAGCTGTTCACCATATCCTGAAGAAAGGACTGCTGTGCATGTGCATCTTCATCACTGAGATGGGCCTCAACACTGTATGTGTCCTGCAGCTCTCCAGTGTCCATATTTATTTCTGAGACACTTATTTTCCTAATGTTATTGAGAAATAGCATCATCAAAAATAAATTACCTCGAAATGTTGCCATGAGGGACTGCATTTCTGGAATGGTAACAGGTCTTGGTTTTATCTTAGACTGTCTGGCCATGTTTTCATTCCTGAGTGGCAATCGGAACAAGGTAGCTTCCTCCATTGGAAAAGATTCTCTCATGTCATCCAAGTAGCTTGCAAATACATCTGGGAAAGACTTCCTTAACTTTGGAATGTCATCATAACGCCTTCCAGGCTCTGCAAAAGACGCACCTGGCACATAAATACAATGTGGATCAAAGACACACAATGTTTCTCCAATTTCCTGTCCTTTGGTTAAGAAAGATGGGGCATCTGTGAGATGATATACAGCATTGAAACCAACCCCATATTGCCCTGTTTTGTTTGGATCTTCACTCTTGCTTCCCTCACCTAGGTTGCTAATACCCTCTATGTCTGCTTGAGTAAATGGACTATTGTTGTAAACACACAAAGCTTGTCCCTGCAATGGCTTCCAACAATCCTCAAATATGCGGTCGGTGGAATGCTTTCTGGGATCTAAAACAAAGTGAACTTCAGTTGCCTTTGCATCATCTGCATTTTGTAGGAGCTCCTTCAGGATATCCTGGTCACAGGGGTATCCTTCTAGTATTCTTTTGATTCTATTTGTAAGTTTTTCCTTCTGACCAAAGGGTATACCCATTGAACATTTTCTAAGCTTTTCACCTCTTTTCGTCTGAACACCAAGGCCTTTAGCTTCATGAAATGGAAAATCTTTGTGTGCACAATGCATGTCATCATCATCATTCTCAAGCCATGAGCAATCATCAAAATAAAGTCCCTTTGCTTCAGACATCACTCCATCTTCATCTGGTAAATAAATAGGTCCATTTTTATCTTCAATTGATTTCAATTTCGTTGTGAGGGGTACTTGCTCAGATTTTACCTCATTCTCAATTTTCTGCTGTAATGCAGACACAATTTGACGTATGTATGATGGCAGTGATTTTTTGCTGTATGTTTGATGTGGTTTTTGTAGGGCCATTATATAATCTGCAATATCAAAGTCTTCTCGAACACCAGCAGCTTCCATGACATCAGGGAAGTCTCTCCAATCATAAGGACACCCAAAAAGAAGTGGCTCAAATCTGTCCTTGGAGTTGAATATAACTTTACTGCCTGAGACAAACTCTTGTGACTGCGGAATGTACACTGCACTTCTCCCTTGCAGTGCATTACTGATAGCGAACTGTTGTGCAGGTTCCCTTTGCAGTATATAATTCAGAAACTGATAAATGTCCTTCATAATATCTTTCAGCTTTTCAAACTTTCCGCACTTTGGGGCAGCTGCGATGGCCTCATCAAACTGGTCCCATACCTGGTCAAGTTCAACATCTCTTCGAGACTTTATTTTGAGCAACATCTCCACACTTCCCTTCATTTTCAATTCCCTTCTGTCGATAACAGCAGCAGTAGAAGATACTAAAGTTTCTACATCTGTTGAAAAGCATTCTTTAGGTGCAGCAATATTGTTGTGCTTGCCTTTCCATGGAAGTGGGTAACCGTCTGGTTTGGGCTTAACTGGAAGGAATGGCACTTCACGTAATACGCCACTGAGTTCACTTTTCAATTTACTTCCTTCTTTTTTACTCAGCCTCCAGTCTAGGTACTGCAATATCTCCTTTACTCTTTCTACTCCTCTTGCATTATCAGTTTGATGGAGACCAGCAACACTTTTGGCTCTCTCCAAAATCTGTTCACCGCTGATGTCTTTAAAGATGCCAAGTTTGTTCAATACCCGAAGGCGGCATGAGTTCAGGTAACACCTTTTGGTTCCTTTGATGAAAATCCCATCTTCCTCGTGATACAATGGGGTAGCTCTGCTGTTTGGGTGCATGAGAGCACAGGGTTGCTTTAACTCACCATGAGGTGTGGAAGGAATGCATGGATATCTCTGCAAGAGTTTATTCAGATATTCATCATCTTGGTCAATTGCATAAAGTATCAAAGCATCCCTGACATCTCCATCAAGAGTGTTGATGTTTGGGAAAACTGCTTCATTGTATAACCTGAGAAGGTCAAACATGATCTTTCCTTGAATCTCTCCAGGGGCAAATGACAACATAGTTTCCATAATCTCACTGGGAACTTTTACATATATCTTTCCCCTCTTCTGGAGATAATCTTCTAATATTCTTTCAGCATGGGTCACTATATCTGATCCCTTGACATCTTCTGTGAGCATACCAACATTATGGACATTTTCCCATATTTTCCCATTTGAAAATAAAGCGGGCGCCTGCTGTTCCTCTGTGGAAAATAAGGAGGCATAAAACTGCTGCACAAGAGGCTCACATACTGGTTTATATGTGCTCCCACAGGTTGGCCACAATTCACTAAAACTGTAAGGTGTACCACATGTTAAGTCTCTCAAGTCTTCAAGACAAAATCGAAGTGCTTCGGGAATGACATCCTTCATGATGATTTGGTTCCATTCAGCTCCTTTTGAAACTTTATCATCCATTGTTTTCTCAGTTAGATGTTTGCGGTTGGACTCCACAGAGAAGCTTCCATTGACATGAAATGAGAATCCACTGGAAATTGGAAGAGGGAGATAACAAAAGAATGTTCCCTTCTGAGTACAAAGTGGTGTATGTCTAATGCTGCCTTCAACACTGCACTCCTTCAAATGAACCGCCACTCCACCTGTAGGTACAAGACCAGATCCCTGGCACATGGTCAACATCTGTGATGTGAGGTCTCCCATACATGACGTAACCAGCCAGAAATCTTTCTTCTCCTCAGTTTTGCGAATACTCACACTACCTGCATCCATTTTGGAGGACATTTCAAGAAGAAGGGACACTGTTGGATTTTGAGTGTCTTTGGGCATTGGAATTGGTGGCGCTGATTCTGCTGATTGCAGGGCTTGGGTTGAAGCTTTTAAAATTTGTGTTTGCTGAACCTCTGGTAAATGCAAACCTCTTATCACTTTTGAGATGTTCTTTGTTGTTTCATAGATACACTGCATCATTAATGGGGTTCCATCCTTGGGGAGGTGATAAATTGATATTTTCTTTACATTTTGAGTAAAAAGTAGAACTTCTGAAGATGAATCGACCAATTTCTGAAGAAGCAATTGCACTTGTTTTTCATCATAATGCACATCGCTGATCTCACTTTTATAGGATTGCTCCTTTGTTCGTAGAGGAAATCTAAATAATGTTGCATTGTAGCTAAATATGCAAGATTTGGCAGTGGAATCAAGATTGCAGCCAAAAATCCCATTAAAAGGCTTGAATTGGTTCTTCAACTTCTGAAGCTTTTTTCTGTTTTTTATATTAATCTTAATTCCAGGTTTTGATCTTGCTGCTCTTCCCAAGTGTTTCATATGCGGATCAAAGATGGCTATACTGTTACTGCTAATGAAACTTGGGACATCAGTTAGATTGTAGACTGCATTGAACCCAAGTCCAAATTTGCCAATTTTGTCACTCATCTTTTCTTTGGTTGCAGCCCCCAGCTTAACAAGGTTTTTGAAATCTTCTTCTGTGAACACAGCATCATTATAGGCCCAGAGAGCAGGTCCTTGGCAACTTCGCATTCCCTCATCTATCAAGCATGTCTGGGCATCTTCATTTCTTCTCTGGTCATACAGAAACTTCACTTCTTGGGCTCCTGCATCATCAGCATTTTGAATAAGTTCCTTAGGGACAGAAAACCCATCTGTGTAGCCTTCCTTAAGCAGATTGTGAAGGCGACATGTCAGTGGCTCAGACTGGCCATAGTTCATGTCCAACTCTTCTACATCTAAAATACGACTCATAAGAGTTGGCACACGTAATTTTTCACTAGTTTGCATTGAGACATGCTCATGGACAAAGAAGATAGATTCTGTTTCTTCATCACTAATATCAGTGACATCATACCCTTGCTGTAGCCAATCCATATCACAGTAAGTGCACTGGGAGACTGGCTTAAGGATGAGGGTAGATTTGTCGTCACTATGAACAGGCACTAAGAGCTCATCTTGCAGTTGGGATATTGTCACCTCGTCCATTGACTCAACAATGTGCAACAGATCAATAATGGTCTGAAGATCTCTCTGTGCATCAAGATCTGCAGCGTTGCTGTTGGTTATCTGAGACTGGACCCTTTCTTGTTGGTATTTGATTTGGATATTGCTTTGCACCTGCAGAATGATTTCAAGTTTATCTTTTGGTTCTACACCATACTGGGAAAATTGTTCGCTGAATTGCTCTACTTCTTTTGGAAGGACAAACAAATGAGGGTGCAGCTGAATCCCTTGCAGTTCTGGAGGAATACCAGGGACAACATCTTTTGATGAGGAAAACCCATCTCCATTCCAGATCCATTTCTGTGAGCTGGATTTAAGGCCGTCGTAGGGAACATCCCCCCTAACTGGATGAAACAATTCTCCATAGATATCTAGAATCATTGGCAGAAATAGACCCTTTTCTTTGCTTGTGTAATGGCTTACTACCTGTTCTAACTGGGCTATGACTTTTGACAAAGTGGGCCTTTCATTCCATCCAAATTCCCTGGCGATCTCTTCATCCACAACCTCATCAGAGACATGCTCCACAGAACCTATCACTTTTTCATAGACACTGCTGCATAACTCACTTGGACTTAAAAAGGTGCAATCTGATGGACACCAAGGCAAAGAATTGGGATAATTCTCTGGCCTTGGCTTGACCTTGATAAACCTGGTTCTTTTCAAACTGCCTGAGAGCGTGTTTCCATTTTCTAGGCTATGCTTTAATATAGTTGGTCTGGATCTCAATATGGTCATAATTGCATCTGATTTATCAATCAAAAAGTTTTGCATGGCCGATCCCTCAGCAGACACGTTTTGAACGTACTCAGCTGCCTTATAAATGTCCTCTGCTGTTATTTGTTCTCTTTCTGTCTTCAGTCCTAACCTCTTCAGAGCTGCATGTAATTGTAGATCATCCTTATACTGTCCAATTGGAAAGATGTCACATACCCCATGAAAGAGATCAAATACAACTGAATCATGGTGATCAAACAATTGGCTTGCTGTAAATCTCTCTCCTGATTCATTTGGAACAAAAGAAATGCCTCTCACCATCTGGTATATATCTTCATCTTCATTCATGTTGATGGTCAGTACCTGCTTCATCAAAAGATCAATCTCTCCGCTTTCCTGGTACCACTTAATGTCTTTTAAAACAATTTCTCTTAGCAAGTCATTTGTGTCCAAAATTATCATTCCTAATTGCTGAACTAGCATTTCAGAGTCTGTTCCTGATGCTTCGATAAACTTCCTGCGTAATGAAAAGCTTGGACTTTGATGTAAAACCCAGGATGCTTCATGGAGAGAAACTCTGTTGCCAGAACTTTGAGGATCAGAGTATTCTGTTCCACCAACCGACATAAAGATTGGAAGTTCCTTAAGCAATTCCTTGTGTGACTTTATGTCTTGTGCAGAGGCTTCAGAGACAAGCTTTCTGAGCTTATCCTTCTCTGCCAATGGCCATTCTTTTATCTTTTCTAAGTTGGTTTGGGTCTGCACATTTGAAAGAGCCTGTAAAACACCTTCAGGTGTTGGAGGACTTATGTATTTTGGTACAACAGCATGGTGATCTTCAATAAATTTGGGGAGATTCTTAAATACAATTACCCCCAATGCTTTAAGCCACTTAGCTAAACCATCATCAAGTCTGTCCCCTTGCCAAAAAGTTATCAAAGCAGGTAAGCCAGAACTCAGCTTCACAATTCTACAAGAAGACAGATCAATAAGAATGTGCAAGTCTTCAAACCTGGAGAGATTGTCAGGGAATTGACGGGTCAGGTACTCCCATGCCATCTGAAGCCAGCCATGAGTAGGATGGTTAGTGGTCTGAGGATCCCAGTCCTTGGTGTTGTCTCTGCAGGGGTCGAAGAGTCTTCTGATCAATTCAGCCATTGAAGTCTTGTCTAGAAATTTCAACTGGGTTAATCCTAAAGTGAAACAAAAATGGAAATTTCTCTATTTTAATTGCAGTTTTTTATTAAAATTGTATTTCATTAATAATATATATCAGTGTCATGAAAGATTAACAATATGAATGACAGCACGCATAATTGGTACATAGAGACATCTATAAAATTTTATTTTCTGCAGAGTTAACAGCCATTTCCTATGGTGACAGTGACAGTGTAACCCTGCACTTAGGCACAGCAGAGCAGAACATGTATTGACCTTTATGGATCTGTATACAAAATCTGAAAAAAATTTCTAATGACCAGATTTGTTTCTGAAAAAGGTAACGTAATCCAAATATTCTTTTCCATTCAACTGAACTTGCCTATTAGCAGATTCTAATTGCTGTTTAGAAAATTATTAGTTTTACCTAAAGCTGCCATCTTTTCGAGATGTGCTGCAACCTCAGATGGAACTCTCTCAGTCTCCAATAAGCTGTGGGTCAACCCGGGGAGAAGGTCTTTTGGATGATCCTTGGTTGGAATATACACTGCATTACTTGCACTGGACTGGAAGCTAACAAAAACCTGGTCACATCGGGGCAAAAGTTTGATATCAATTATATCACCATAGGATGAATCAGAGAGGATGTACTTTAAGATGGACATCTTTTTGTCAAATGAGAGGCTGTCTACCCAGGTGGACACATTTGGTTTCTTTAGAGCAGTGCGCACATCTCCTGGCTGAATCTTTGTAATTTTCATTTCATGCTTTTGTAATGCTTCTTCCACATGTGATAGGACTGTGCAAATCTTTTCGCCACTTTGCATGAGAACATTCACAAGATCTTCAACATTGTCAATGTTAGGGCTTAAATCATTGAACAAGACTTCACTGGCATTGTGCCATTTACTGGCAGAGAAAGAGGTGTCGGTTGTTGGGCTATAAAATGATTGCCTCCTTAGAGTCACTCTGTACATAAGTGTGACCATTTTTTCAAATTTGGGATCAGTTAAACTGCAGTCTGGCATTGCATTATAAACGCACATTGGTGAAAAGCCTGCGAGAATGGCACAATTTAGGAGTTCTGCATACGCCACTGAAACTGCTTCTTCAACCAAATAGATGTTCCACAGAAGAGCTTTATCAGTCAGGGCAGACCTATCTTGGTCGGCAGTGAGCCATTTCAGTTGTCTGCGATTTTGGCTGAGTGCAAAGAACCCGCTGATGTGAACTGGTAGACCAGTCACACTTTTTTCTTCAAGTGGGAGCGGTAGGAAACAGAAGAAGTGGCCCTTCGGTTGTTGGGGCTTCTGTTTGACTTGTTGAAATGGTTCGTCCTTTGTGCTACAACACATAGCAACAGCCACCCATGGAAGGTAACCCAGTTTTGAATCATTTGCCAGTTCTTTAAACTGCAAACTCACTTGGCCTCCAGAAAAGTGGTTTGTTAGCATCCATTTGGTCGTCTTAGAAGTTTTGTCAACAGACTTTTTGGCCTTCTTCGAAGGGGGAGGTGTGGAGGCAGCTGATTGGTGGATATATGTCGTCTCTGTGAATTGGAGCTCATACGTGGACTGAATTGGTTTTTCTGGCCACTCATTGGTTTGTCGCACCTTAGCAATTTCTGACAAAAACTCTCTACGCTTTGATCTCACACCTTTGATGCACTTTTTATGTAATGCCAACCTAAAGATTAACTCTGGTTTCTCACTTCCTTCTGTTCTTTCATACAATTCAATGCTTTCCAGTGATGACAAAAACAAAAGGTTCATATATGCACATGTCATGAAAGATCTGAACAAACTGTCAATTTTTTCTGATGCATATATCTGCTCTGACAATTGTGAACAGAATTGAGAGGGATCTTGTAAACCTGTCCTGAGTGGAAAGCGAAACAGTGTTCCCTTATAAACTTCACCACTGAATGTTATGTCACGGCCACCAAAAATCCCCACAAATGGTTCAAACTGATCAGGCAAAGAAGAGATTTCTTCCTCATCATTTTCAAGATGCCATTGCTTCCCTGTTGTCCTGAGACCAAAGAATTTTTCATGTGGATCTAGGAATCCTATCTTGTCTCCACTTATTACGCTTGGTAAATCTAGAAGTAAAATGTAGAAGAATAGAAAAATAAATGCCCAAACACATAAGGTTTAGGCAATGACACATATGATTTATGCACAGGCTCATAGGGTTTATGGACAGGCACATTAAATGTCTGAGCATGCATGCAATGCTTTATCTGAGACTTTTTTATAGACAATATAGGGATATACGTCACTGAGCTCTGAAAGACAAAATGTTGCCCAGAATACCACATGCATATGGAAGTACTAGAATTATTGCTGGTAATATTAAACTTGACTGCAAAGCTGAAAAATATACAGACACCATAATGGAAACAAGGCAGCAAAGCTGACAAATGTTTAGACATTCAGACTCACAAAAGTGCACCAAATAATGTTTTGGCCAATTTTGATACACTATTACATAATATTTTAAAACAGCACAATCACTCATACCCTCTTACATTACATACTGCAGGTAACATGGACAGTGAAAAACTACCAAGGGATTCAGTTTCATTGCCTATAAAAGGTTCTATAGTTATAATGTGTAAAATATTCAAACAATAAAATAACCAGAATTATTATGATTAATGTAAACCGATATCATGCCAATTTCAAAAACAAACTTCCTCTTTACCAAACAAAGCCACTCAGTAAAATTGAAAGTTAAACAAAAATACTGTTTGGCAGTTATGGGGGGAACGTCTACAAAGTTGTGCAAAAAAAAAAAAAAAAAAAAAAAAAAAA